TTTTGGTTGGAATAATAACAATGTGCAGTCAAACTTTGCAGCTATTTCAGATATGTTTTCTCTGAGATCCTCAAGTAAACAAGTGCAGAAACTAAGACTTATGTTGACTTACACTTCAAAAAGCTTCAAAAAGGTATTTAAGGCTTATTTCATTTGGACATTTTATAACTGAAGTCTTCAGTGCCATCTTTTAATTCATAGCAATTAGGTTATGCATCCAATACACTTCAGATAAAACAGCAGATACAACTCCTTTCTTACAACCCATGTCATGACATACAGACATCGTGTATGGTTCTTATCACACTTTTTGATATTACCACCTAAAGTGAATATCATCTGAAATTCATATAGTGGGACAAAACATATGGATTTAATGCAAATAGCACAATTGCCAAAGTTACTTACATGAGGCAATAGGCGGTGAATTGACTGTCTTAAAATGTGAACGCAGTGTGTGTTACTACATCCTAATCTAAGCTTTAACAGGTTTATTGCCCATATTCTTCAGAAAAATTTTCACCGTCAGATTTGAGAGGACTGTCTGGGACAAATAAAGGCCACCATTGGCCGTCACTGTGGGTCCATTCAAGTATGACAACCCACTTTTCAAAATAGGAAATTCACATATTCACTATTCAGAGTTTTCAGGGTTCTTTGCAGTTCTTTTCCTCCACCCTGCTGTTCTCCTTAGGCAATAAATTCAAAGTCCTCTTTGCTCCTATTCAGCAAATGCTCTGCGAATTTTATGATGGACGGTTTGTTTGAGAAGTCAGTGACAGGAATTGGATTTGTTCCCGTTTTTTGGCATTGGATTACAAGGTATTGTAAATTGCTTAGTTAATATTAATCTGTGTTTTGTTCTTGATCTAACCGTTGGCAGAAATCAATGCCAATCTTTTGCTAGACAAATGCTAACTGTCTTAAATTGAATCCCAATTTTTGTTGCTAATTTCTGCCATTCTGTCTCTATTTCTACATAGCTCTCTTTTGTCACTCTTCTTTCCCTAACAACTGTTTCTGCCCCAGTCACCTCTCCTCTGTAAAAGATGAAACCAATTTTTCCACCCCTACAGGAGATAAATTACTCCTAATAATCCATCGTTTCCTGAAGAGGACCTCTTTCTTTCCAGCTCAGGCAACAGACCAGAACTGTAATGGATATATGGAATTAGGAGGAAAATGTCGGAGAGGGCTTTGGTAATGACAGCCAGGGCTCTGTTTTTCATTGCTGCCTTGTAAAATAGAATACACTGCACTATCACATCAGACCTGTTGATAAGCTGACTTTTGATTTGGAGGCTGGTAGAAGATGGATAAAGTGGAGTTAAATCAACCAAACAAATGGCTAGGAAATTATGCTTTAAGGTCAGTCTAAAGTGCTTGTGATGAAAGGTTACATCATATTTAGCTTTTAGGCTGTTTAAACAGCTGTGAGAAGGATTTCATGTTTTCGAGATGTGGATAGAAAAAAAGGATAGATGATAGTGTGAAAGCATTTTCATCCAGCTCTTTTTGAAGATTCACTAGCAGCTCATAATTTTATTCTTTTATCATTCCTTCTCTCCAAGAAAACCCAGAAAAGTTGGAGCTTTCATCTTGGCTCTGGTAAGACCCCTCTCAGTGAAAGTCACCTTAAATAACCAACCAGCAATCAAGACCTGGTCAGGAGTTCTGGTAAACAAATTTGGAAGCCCAAATGGCTCGTAATAGCAGCCATTTTGATGCTTTTACCTAAGGAGAGGGGCGAAAGAGAGATAGAGGGAGGGAAAGAAAAAATGTCTGTGCCCATGTGTGGATACAAATACATTTCTTTGTGTGTGTAACTAGGAGTTAGGAGTGACAGAGACAACAGATGTATTTTTTTATCCATGTAATGCTGGAGGCAATTAGAAAACTGCTTCAGTTACATATAATCATTCTTAGTCATGTTGATAACTTCTAATCACAACAACAGGTTGTTGTGTCTGAAATCAAAACAGGCCGTATACTTGACCATCTCCAATTTGCATAACATTTTTATGTTTCAAAGTTATCAAATTTTAGTTTCATGTATCAAAACAAAGATATATATTTTTCAAAAATGGTCAGTCCACTTTTTTGCACATTGAAATCTGAGGCAGTTTTTGAACATGAATATCTCAAAGAGCTAAATGTATGATGCTGGAATTTAACAACCATTTTAATACACACCATCTTGCCAAAAGTACTCACTCATCCATCTAACTCATAGAAATTCAGACGTTCCAATCACGTCCACGACCACAAATGTATAAACGCACCAAAAACCTTGGCATGCAGACTGGTAGTACAAACATTTGTAAAAGAATGGGTTGTTTTCAGGTGCTCAATGTTCGGAGCTAATTTGGCTAATTTGAGATTAAATGACCCTAACTAAACACCAGACAATTGTGTGTTTCCGTTTTATAACCTTCCAAGGATTTTTTTTAATGTAGAATTCTCTAATAATTTAGTCATTTAAAGCATTTATTTATCAGAGTAAAAAAAAAAAGTTACATTTTTTGCTGCAGTATACAGTATAGTTTTTATATTCACAATAATAATAATGATAGGACCACCATAAAAATATGGCTATAAATACAAATCATGTTTTTTAAAATGAACTGAACCAAACATTTGTACACCCATGTCAGTCATTATGCCATCATTATGTTGCGTATAGCAACAACCCAGCAATCAACTAAAATGACCAACTTTTGCAGTTTTGCACTTATAACACATTATAAAGGCATAAAATAATTTTGCTTTTCATTCCCACAACACCTAATTTATGTTCACAAAAGCTGAATTATATATGAATTATATACATGAATGAATTCTAAATTATATATATTTATTATGATACAATCGGGGGCAAAAAAAACCCAACCCAAAAAGGAAGCCTTGTATTATCCAATAGAAATATTGACTCTTTTTGTAATAAAACATGTAGTAATGTCATTTATGTTTAATGTAAATTTCATATAAGTAAATATCCATCACTCTAATAATAACAGTGATAAAAAATCTTCGGTTATGTTATAAAGTGTAGAGTGTCAGAAGCTGTAGCTCATCCTGACGTTCCATTCACACTGAGCAAAGCAAAATCCCAACAGCCCTGCTATTCGAAATGATGGTTTCAAGCTTGCTTTTTGCAGTGTGTGAAAAAGACAGGGGGTGCAGAGACCTGAACAAAATTGGGTTTTGTCACTAGGGCTTTGCTGTTTGAAGGAGGGCTATCAGGGCAGATTAGCTCTACCTCAGTGGTAATGGAACTAGGAGCATTTTGAAAAGCATTCCCCGCCTCGCTTTTTAGCCTAAGGGTTCTTGGTTGCTTTAGCCAGAGCTGTTTGGGCTTTCCAGTGTATGTTGTAATAGGGATATTTTGTCTTAATAGAAATGTTGCAGGCAGACAGTTTTAAATTTAACTTTATGAGTCTTTTTCTTTCTCTCTCTGTCTCTCTCTGTATGCACCAAATCTACAGTACTAAAGAGTAAAAGATCATTTTACTCATTTACGGTGAAATTTGTTTTACTTCTCCAAATAGATATGTACGTTTTATACACTGTAACTATTTTTGTTCATTTCCTTGTACTTATAAATCTCAAAGAACTCAACGAAGACTCAAATAAATAATGCAAGCAACAAAAAAAAAACAACAAAAAAACAACAAAAGTTAAAAAATTATAATTAAATGTAAATTAAACATATCATATTATTTAACAGAATTTGAATTAGTGCTGGAACCACACTGGCTCTTGCATAGCAGCTGGGACAGGCTTCATGGCCCACGACCCTGATTTAGATAAGCAAAATAAAATGGATGGATGCATCAATTAGTGCTGGCCCTGAGATTAACTGGCGACCTCTCCAGGCTATACCCTGCATCGCACCCTATGCAAGCTGGGATAGGCTTGCATATCAAAAGATATGCAAATAAGCAAAAGAAGATGGATGGATGAATGGAATAGTGCTTGGCCGTTTTTGACTGGACCCCATAAAAGGTTTAATTAAGAGTTTAATTAAAGTATTTGTGTAACATTTGCTATGATCTTTCAAATTTGCTGCCTAGTATGGCCTGCTGCCCACTACAGCTAATTTACAGTGCCAATATGTTATTAGCATTAGATTATTTCCTCTCATTTTCCAAGTGTATAATAAATAAATAAATGCCTATTTTTAATCCTTTGGTTTTGTTCTGAAGACTTGTTGCTAATGTCAGTGCTTTTTAAAGTCTAAGAACATGGAAGGTTTCCCCCTCAACTCCAAATGGTCATGGCAGAGGACCACCAGTCCAATAAACACCAATAAAGGCATCAGGCAGATGCCAGATATTTTTTCCTGTTAAAGGGTTGTTTTTCCTTCCCACTGTCGCCATGTGCTTTAGATTTTTTAGAGTTTCCTCTGTATTATTGAAGGGTCTTCACCTTAGAATAGAAAGTGCCTTGAGGTGAATGTTGTTGTGATTTGGCATTATATAAACAAAACTGAACTGAACTCAATTTACATATGTATAAAGGGCAGCCTTTGTATTTAATTATTACAAGGAAGGACACCTACAGGATACAATAGGGAAGTGAAAGTAAGGGCATCTGTGAACTTTAGGCAATGATTGTTATTACAAGGTCTGTGTGAGTGACTCTATGTCAGTCTGTCAATCTGCATGACTGCTTGTGAGGCTGCTTATTATTTTGAAACCTGTGAGGAAAAAAAACTGCTGTGTGTCTGTCTAAGAAGGTGGGAGAGAGAGAGAGTGAGAGAGAGAGACCGGGAGGCTTGTAGCAACAGGAGGGGGTAAACAAGTTGACCTTTCCAGCTTTGATCACCCTAGAGGAAGGAGGTGGCTGGGGGTGTCAGCAAGAAGGTTAGAAGGAGGAGGGAAATGGAGGGAAAAATTAAGTCTATTCCAGCAAATGTAACAAGTGTGTGCTGCTGGGAATGTCAATATGTATGCTCATGGATATCTATATCTGTACTCATCTATCAAATCATCCCTTACCTCAGCCAGTGGTACGATGCCCTGTATGTCGGCGCTGCTGATATAGAGGTGTGAAACTTTCTCTGTTTGCCTGGAAGTTGTCTGTGTGCCAGCTGGGTATTCAACGCTCCAGTGTAGAGTCTGGGTTGGCACCAGGTTAATCACGTTATCCACCTCAAAGTCGAGCTGCATCACCTCATAGGAGGGACTTTCTAAACTGCAAAGACAAACAGTGGTTAGAGATGTTAGAGATATTAGAAATATTTGCTGTCTTTATAGGATGCTCTATGGATTTAGACATCACTAACATACTAACACAAAGGCAGTGGAGACCAATATTATACGTAGATTACAGTTATTATTTTTATATGGTAGAATAATTTATTTGTTCTTTAAAATATTCAGAATGGGTACTTGAGCCAGTCACAATTCCTGACACTGACCAAACACTACTACAACTGCTTATGAAAATGATAATGACCAAATGTTTTAAGGAACAAAGAAAAACAGTGTTTAATACAAAGCAATGTCATTTTCAGAAACTCCATATCATATCAGAACAGAACCTCATTATGGGGTACACATCTTAGCTAAGCAGGTATTAAGTCTTACAAACTTGCTCGAGATCCTACTGTTTAAAGTAAAACTGCATATTTAATGTACACCCTTTGGATAACTGCCTTGACGGACAAACCTTTTCTAATTCCCACATCATCGCTTAGCACTGTTTATCACAGCTGCTGGTGTGGCTCATTTATGCACAAGGTGTCCTTTGGTTTATGTGCCCCAGAGCTAAGGGAGGGGTCTGTAACCCCTAAATCATTATTTGTCAATCATCACAGTTATTGCTGTGGAGGCATGTGTGTTTTAACCTAAAACATGTTGTTGTGCTAAACCTCAACAAGTAGTTTGCAGTGCTTAAACCTAAAAAGTAAGAAAAAAAGAACAATTTCGGTTGAAAAAAGGTGAAAAATTGAACAACTTTGCAAAAAAAAGAAAGAAAGATAACGAACTCCCAGTATATGTCACTAACACTTCTTCAACCTCCTAATACAGATTTGTGGCTCTCTAATAGAGATACCGTGGCTCCTGGTGGCTGACATTGCCATAGATAGCATGTCAGTACCAATGCCACAGGGCCCCAACTGCATAATAGTGTGTAGCATTAGGTATCTGAAAATGTGGTATTAAATTGCTCTTTGAGATGAGAACAAACTGATGTAAAAAGTTTACCCGATTAACCTAACCATTAATAAACTTTTGGTATTGCGCGCATCAGTAACTGATTCACTTAAAACTTTCTGCCTGGGAAACTACTGCAACTTAAGAAATCTTCTCTTCACATACATCCCGATTCATGTCCTCATTTGTATCCACAGAAATGTGTCTGTCATTTTGACAACTTGGATTCCTGCAGCACATCATGCCCTTATAACTTTTCAGACTGTCATTACCTGCTTTGCTTCCTTGCCTGTCAGACATCCTGATTCTACCTGCTGCTACTGTGAATTACAGACCATTCTATCATTTGTCACCACACAAATTCTTTGCATCTTCTTCTTCTAGACTTCAGCCAGCTTTGAAATAGAGTGTGGTGTCTGAAAGTCAGTGTCAGTAGTGAACACTGTGGTCAGAGTTGGGATAAATGAACGACAAAAAAAATCTACAACAAAAGTGTAATAAAATGCTGTGTTTTTCCCACTTTAAGATGTCACACACAGAGCAAAAGAAACATATCCTGTATTAAATAGAAAAGCTACCTGTAATATGTGTGTAAATTTCTGCATCGAGATAGAAGTCACAGATACCCACTTTACGGTTCATAGCAAGTAGAACAGAAAAGGTTTCCTGGGTTGCATTTTGGAGATAACATTTGCAATACACCAGAGCCAATGATTTCACAGGATAATAACTGATATTTCATCTACATTTTAACAACTGAAAACTCTCTGTGTGGCTATATGCCTAATTCTATTTTTAAGGATTCTCTGTTTCTCATCTTTATTAACACCCAACCTCAGCAAACACACAAACACAAGCACAGATTTACATGTGTTCAGTGGCTAGTGGAACATTACAAAGAAAGAGCAGCTGTAAATTAATTTTTGAGCTTGTGTTTTAAAGCACCATCTACTACACACACACACACACACACACACACACACACACACACACATAGATCCGCATGGGTTAAAGGCCATGACAAAGCCAATTGCTGAGGGCCTGTGATATCTGGCATGTCATTGTGTCTAGGGAGATGGGGCAAGAGATGTGTTACACTGATAGATTAAGGAGAGAAAGCTGATGGGTGTCAGCTCCCCTTGACCTGCTTTTGTTTCATCTATCTCTGCAAATCTGTCCGCCTTACTTTGTCTCTTAACAAGCCTAACACAACATCATAGTACAGCTAAAATGGTTTCTTTCTTAGTACTAAGTCTGTACAGTAAAGTTGCTATATAGTGAACCATATAGTCTAGAAACAGGACAATTTTATTTATTACTCATCCTGCTTTTAACTTATCCTGCATGCAAACCATGTGTAAGCCATTACATGAAATCTGCTTCCAAGAAGCCTGACTTGATGGTGTTGAGCAGTAGTTTTTTAGGCATTCTGAAGGTCTTTCACAGATTTTTCACAGATTTTCAGTCCAATGCTATGCCTGACAAGGACTTGAGAGATGCATCTGTCCCTTCACTTAATCTGTCTACTGCTTGCTGAAGCCTCATCAGTAAAGTTCTCAATGAAACCATTAAGAGAAACATGGAGAAAAAGCTGAGGTATGCCCAGTTACAGAAGTGCTGAACAGAAAATCAGTGGCAACAGGCCTTATGGAATGTTGAATGAAAATTGGAATTTCTGATTTACTTTTACTCACCTTTTTTGTATATATTAGTATTTATGTAGGAGATCAGAAGAACTGCACAATGGTGAGTTTCTACAGATATCTGTAAAACACGCTCAAAGTTCTGTCATGGTTTGAGGTTGCATCTCAACCAGTGGCGTTGGGGATTTTGTAAAAACTGATGGAATTATGAAAACAGAAAAGTACTGTCAGATTTTAATCCACCATGGGATTTCATCTGGAAAACGTCTGATTGGTAATGGTTTCATTTTTCAGCATGACGATGATCCTAAATATATTACCAATGCATTGAAAGCATACCTGGATAGAAAAAAAAAAACGACAAAGTGGAACACTATCCATCATGGACTATAATTCTCAGAGCCTAGACCTCAACATTACTAAAGCGGTGTCAGATCATCTCGGCACAAAATGCAGTGACCATCCAAAGAAGAGCTCCAGATGTTCTTCAAGAAGCCTGGTTTTCATTTGAAATATTGACTTTC